TGACTACGAAATTAGAACAGATAAAGAGAGCAAATGATTGTACTTCATTATCTGTGGAATACATTGTATACTAATTTTCTCTTTGCAACAAAAAAATACAATTTATATTTGATGTGTAGTATAATACTCGCACATGTTTGATAAGAAGTACCATATTTTGTACGTGGGCTTATTGATTTGTGGTTGGGCTCAAGTAAAGCTTTATTAACAGCTTAATCATCAGTTCGGTTTGTGACAGCGAAATAGATAAAATAAAAAAAACTGATTCGACTAAATTTACCGGTTTACACATTAAACCAATTTAAGACGCGAATTGGCAGAGACGACGACGAGGGTTTTAGGACTCTTGAGGATTTCGTTTCAAAAACCGCGCTTTGCCACTCGACGTTCGTACTTCAACTAACCCTTTAATCGCCGGCGACAATTCTTGCCTATTCTCTTCGAAATCTTTGATTTTATTGGGTAAGTATCGTAAAGTGCGATGCTTTATTTCGATTCTGCAACTGGGAAATTCGTGAAATCGAAGAATCTGGAGTGGTTTTCAATTGGGAAGCCCTGAGATTTTGGGGGTTTTAGACCATGTTAAAGGGGAAGGGTTTATGTTATCGCTTAGTGAAATCCAGAAAAGCTACGACTTGCGCTCTTCCGTCGGAACCATCACTCTCCACTTCCGCCGCCGTCTCCGCCGCTTCGGGTGACCAACGGTCTCGATGTTTGTCTTTGATTGTTAAGCTTGGTCGGAGAGGTCTCGTGGACTCTGCTCGGGAAGTTACTCGCCGTGTTATCGATGCTTGTTCTTCGATTTCAGAGGCGGCTTTAGTTGCTGATTTTGCAGTCAACAATAGCATAGAACTCGATTCGTGTTGCTGCGGCGCATTGATAAGGAAGCTTACGGAGATGGGTCAGCCTGGATTAGCTGAAACTTTGTATAATCAACGTGTAATCGGAGATGGTATTGTTCCTGATTCTTCGGTTTTAGATTCAGTGGTTCTTTGTTTGGTTAAATTGAGGAAATATGATGAAGCTAGATCCCATTTAGATAGATGTTTAGCTTCTGGTTATGTTCCTAGTAGGAACTCTTGTAGCTTAGTAGTTGATGAGCTTTGTAACCAAGATCGATTTCTCGATGCGTTTCTTTACTTTGAACAAGTGAAAGTGAGAGGCAGTGGTTTATGGCTTTGGTGTTGTAAGAGATTGTTTAAGGGATTGTGCAGTCAAGGTCACTTGGATGAAGCAGTTGGGATGTTAGATGTTCTGTGTGAGATGACGAGAATGCCTCTGCCGATTAATCTATATAAGTCTCTCTTTTACGGTTTTTGTAGTAGAGGATGTGCTTCTGAAGCAGAGGCTCTGTTTGATCATATGGAAACTGATGGTTACTTTGTGGATAAGGTCATGTACACTTGTTTGATGAAAGAATATTGTAAGGACAACAATATGACAATGGCAATGAGGCTTTACTTGCGGATGGTCGAGAAAAGTTGTGAGCTTGATACTTATATTTTCAACACTTTGATTCATGGGTTCATGAAGCTGGGTATGCTCGATAAAGGGCGGGTAATGTTTAGTCAAATGATCAAAAAGGGCGTGCACTCGAATGTTTTCACATACCATACTATGATCGGTAGCTACTGCAAGGAAGGGAATGTAGATTATGCTTTGAGGCTTTTCGAGAACAATACAGGGGTTGAAGATATATCCCGTAATGTGCATTGTTACACAAATCTTATATCTGCCCTTTACAAGAAGGGCGGATTGGATAAAGCTGTTGACTTGTTGATGAAGATGTTAGACAATGGGGTTGTCCCGGACCATATTACTTACTTTGTACTCTTGAAGATGCTCCCGAGATGCCACGAGCTTAAGTACGCTATGGTTATCTTACAAGCAATCGTCGATAATGGATGTGGGATTGATCCACCGGTTATTGATGACCTTGGAAATATTGAGGTAAAGGTTGAGTCTTTGCTTGAGGAAGTTGCTAAAAAAGATGCAAAACTAGCTGCTGAGGGACTTGCTGTTGTCACAACTGCTTTGTGCTCACAAGGAAAATCTTCTGCTGCTTTATCTAGTATCGAAAAAATGGCCAATCTAGGATGCTCACCCTTGCCCTTTTCATACAATTCAGTGATCAAATGTCTATTTCAGGAAGGTGTCATCAAAGATTTGGGGTTTTTAGTCAATCTTATTCAAGAATGGGGATTTGTTCCGGATCCTGATACGTATTTGATAGTGGTGAATGAGTTATGCAAGAATAATGACATAGACGCTGCGTATGCTGTTGTAGATGTAATGGAGGAGCTTGGATTGAGACCTACTGTCGCTATTTATAGCGCAATCATTAGTTCCCTTGGCAAACAGAGAAGAGTTGTTGAAGCTGAAGAGACGTTTGCCAAGATGCTTGAGTCTGGAATTCAACCCGATGAGATTGCTTACATGATTTTGATCAATACTTATGCAAGAAATGCAAGAATTAACGAAGCGAATGAGTTAGTTGAGGAGGTCGTCAAAAATTTCGTTCGGCCTAGCTCTTTTACTTACACAGTATTGATCAGCGGGTTTGTGAAGACAGGTATGATTGAGAAAGGATGTCAGTATCTCGATAAGATGCTCGAAGACGGGTTATCTCCAAACGTAGTGCTGTATACTTTTCTCATCGGTCATTTCCTTAAGAAGGGAGATTTCAAGTTTTCTTTCACACTGTTTGGTTTAATGGGAGAAAACGAGATTAAGCACGATCACATTGCGTACATCACATTGCTTAGCGGTTTATGGAGAGCTATGGCGCGAAAAAGGAAGAGAAAAGTTTCTGTTGAGCCGGGGAAAGAAAAGATTCTTCGACGCCTTCTTCAGACAAAGCCTTTAGCATCAATCCCCTCTTCAACATGCAACTATGGTTCAAAAAGCTTTGCAATGGAAGTGATTGGCAAAGTGAAAAAAACTATAGTCCCCAATTTGTACCTCCACAACGCGATTATAACCGGATATTGCGCTGCAGGAAGGCTCGACGAAGCATATAACCACCTCGAATCAATGCAAAAGGAAGGCATTGTTCCAAATCAGGTAACTTACACTATTCTGATGAAATATCATATCGAAGCAGGCGACATAGAATCAGCTATAGATTTGTTTGAGGAAACTACTTTCGAGCCGGATAAAGTTATGTACAATACTCTGCTTAAGGGTCTCTGTGAATGTGAAAGACCTGTTGGTGCTTTGAATCTGATGTTAGAAATGCAGAGGAAAGGGATTTATCCGAATAGAGACTCTTATGAAAAGCTGCTTCAGTGTCTTTGTTACTCGAGATTAACCATGGAAGCGGTTAAGTTGGTTAAAGACATGGCTGCTCTTAATCTCTGGCCTCGTTCGATTAGTCACACTTGGTTGATTTATATTCTGTGTGAAGAGAAGAAGTTGAGAGAAGCTCGTGCTTTGTTTGCTATAATGGTTCAGTCTGGAAGATCTTTATTGAATTGTACTAAACCGGGTTTGTTGAAAATGCTTAACCAGAATCAACAACTTTAAATTTTTTTTTTTTTTTACAGTATATTGTAAATTGTTTGTAAAGTAATGTACAATGATTTACACTTCCCTTAAAAGAAAAAACAGATTTGATTGTGAAGTACTGAAATGTTTAAGATTCCATGTGTAAAATATCTAACAACTGTAAACAAAAGCTATTGGTCTGCCATTATTCAACAAAAGTGGGAGAAAAAGACAGCTTTTGTTCACATCAAGCATAATTATGTAAATAATTTTGAAAATCCTTATCTATGTAATACGCCTTTTCATTAAAATTGATTTTCTATTTTCTTCATGAAAATTTATTTTTAACTTTCTATGTAATCTTCAAAGAATATCAATGGAAGAAGATGTTTGAATTAGTTGTAAACAAAAAAAAATTGAATACTTTGAATTAGCTCATGATTATTGGAAAGCATTTTTTGTCGACAATTATTGTAAAGTATGAAAGTGATGCATGCATGTATAGATATTGGGTAGGGCAGTAGGGGAAACCAAAAAACAAGAATTAATTTTCATTAAACACATTTTTGGTACATATCAATTTCGGAATCTTAAAGACGAACACACATTGTATTGTTATCATACACACAAAACCAAACAGAAAATTTTCAATAAAATTAAACTAAAAACTTATCTCAAAAACTCTTTAACCATGAATAGAAGCAAAGTGATTAATCAAAGCCAAAGCATTACTCGTTAGTTGAGCAACAACTAAAATCCTCCCTCTAACAAAAACCTTAACCTTCCCATTCATGTCGTCTCCTTCGAACCCGTCCGTACAAGTGTTCTCATCGGTCAAAGCCGCACTAACCCATGTCTGAATATCATTAATGTAAACCTCATAGTTCGAGCCACTTAGCTGACCCATCTCACCAATCGATTTCCTTAGCTCCTCCAACGTGTCACCTAACTCCTCGACGCAGTCTCTCATGGCCGAGACTTCTCTTGGCTTGAGCTGCACGTTGCTCGAGAGACGCACCATCATTGCTGACGTGGATTTAGCCGAGGCTAATGTGATGTTGAGAGCTGCATGAGCCATGAGCTTAGGGCTGGTTTGGATGAGAGTGGCTTGAGTCGAGAGTGAAGCGAAACAGAGTCTTGGGTATGTTGTGAACGTGCATGATGATTTTACAAACTCTGTGTTCGTTGTTGTTGTTGTATGGACCGACTTTAGTGTGGCTATGGTTATGGTTATGAGAAAAGATGTTAAGAACTGATGATTAAATCTAAAAGACACAACCATTTTTTTTAGTATGAGCTTTATGAGATTGTGATGATTTGTTTTGTAGTGTTTCTATTCTATGTAATTGGGATTTATATAGAGAGAAATGAGATGCTTTTTTTATTAATAGAGAAAAAAAAATTAATATACAAGTGGGAAATGGGGATGCATGAAATGAAGATATATATTCAAAAAACCAAAAAAGAAGAAATATCTAACATGTGAAAGCAACACGGCAAAGACACTGGTTGTGGGGTAAGTAATTTGCATTTTTAAATGCCAAACATAATCATTTGTTTAATAAGAGCATTGGTTACATTTGGAAATGTCTATTTGATTGGTTAATAGATCTTTCCCATGGCCAATTTGTGGTCTTTTTCAGATGCAAATGGAGTCGACAAGTTGATAATATCCTC